TCCCCTTTTCCTTATGACTCAGGGTGAAGTCTCTCTCAGGGAGGAGTGATAGGGAATGGCAAAGGAACACTGACAAAGAAGATTAATCAGAACTGGCTTTGACAAGCACTGTGGCATTTGGACAAGAACAAACTGGGAGGAGGGTAGAGAGAATAGTGCAACAATGAATGAGTGGAAGCCCAAAATCTCTGTAAATGTTTATGAAAATTAATAAAATATAGAAAAAAAAATACATGAATAAGATCAATGTCATATTCTTTGTTAAGGAATTATTAAGGATCTAAAATAATACTCCTCCCCAAGCAAACAAACTCTCTGTCCAATAATTGGGTACTAGCTACATAGATGCTTACTGAGTTAGATATTCTGACATAATGAAAATGATTATTACAGATTTCTCTGATAAAAATAATTCATATTATTTTTAGATTAAACCCAATAAAAGATTATAAAACAGAATAATCTCTATGATGATACACAAACACATATTTATTTCTAACTCTAGTGTATGCACATACACACAGACTGACAGGTTGGTCATCTATATATAGATATGAGAATTTTCTATCAAAATGTTAACAAACATTTCTGATTGACAAACTTTTTAATGTCTTTTACATTTTTATGCATGTCTGAAATTCTCTGAACACAGTTATTTCCACTAGGATAAAAAAAATCTGCTTAAAATACCAAATCCAGTGCCACTGAATTGATTCGGACTCACAGGGACCAGATAGGGCAGAAGAGAAATGCCCATAAAAGCACTGTTGTTAGCTGTCATTAAGTCAAGTATGACTCAGTGATTCTATGAACAAAAGATCTGAACCCTGTCCTATCCTGTGCCATCTTCACACCTCCTCACACATTAGAGCCCACTGAGCAGTCACCATATCAGTCTACCTGGTTGAGGATCTTCCTTTCCTTTGCCAACTCTCTACCCTTCCCAGCATCATGTCCTTCTCCAAGAAACAGCCTCTCCCAGCAACATGCCTGAAGTATGTGAAGCGAAGCCTCATCATTCTTGCCTCTAAAGAGCACTCCAGCTGCACCCTCTCCAAGACATATTTGTTCTTTTGGGCATCCATGGGATGTTCAGGACTCTTCTAAAACACCACAGCTCAAAGGCATCAATTCTTCTTCAGTCATCCTTATTTATTGTCAAACTCTCAGATGCACAGCATGTTATCAGACCTTGGCCTGAGTCAGAAGCAGCTTAGCCCTCAAACTGATATCATGATTCTTCAATTGGAGGGATCTTTAAATGCAACCTTTTTCAGTGCAAGACATTTCCTGATTCCCTGACTGTTGGTACCAAGGGTGTTAACTGTGATCCAAGTAGAATGAAGTTGGAGACAGTTTCAATCTCTTCTCCATTCATCATGATGTTGCCTATAGGTCCAGTGATACGAATATTTTTTTTTTTACTTTGAGATGCAATCCATATTGAAGGCGGCATTCCTTGATATTCTGCAACAAGTGCTTTAAGTTCTCCTCACTTTCAGCAAGCAAGGTTGTGTCATCTGCATAATATAGATTACTGATGAGTCTCCTCCAATTCTGATACCATATTCTTCTTCATCTGGTCCAGCTTCTCAAAGAATTTGCTCAGCATACAGACTGAATAGGTATGGAGAGGAAATACAACCCTGACACACTTCCTTATTAATTTTAAACCATGGAGTACATCGCTGCTCTGTTCGTACAACAGCCTCCTGGTCCAGATGTAGGTTTTGGATGAGCACAATTAAGTGCTCTAGGACTTCCATTCTTCTCAATGTCAGCCACAATTTGTTATGATCCACACAGTCAAATGCTTTTGTATTTGACTTGTCAAATAACTTGTTTCAATTAACAGATGCAGCCTTGGATGCGTTCACCAGTCTATGCCAGGAAATCTGGAAGATAACAGTCTGGCCAACAGGTTGACAAAGGTCCTTATTTGTTCCCATTCCTAAGAAAGGTGATCCAATAGGATGTGAAAACTACCAAACAATATCATTATCACATGCAAACAGAATACTGCTGAAGATCATTCAAAACCAGCTAGAATAGAACATAGATGTAGAACTGCCAGAAGTTTAAGCAGGGTTTAGAAGAGGCAGTGATACTCATATAGTTTCTAAGGCTTTAAATCATGGATTTGAATGGCTGACCTTTTGCTTATCAGCTGAATTCTTTTACCACAACCAAATGAAATTTATATTATCAGTGTTTTCAAATAATTAAATCTGTCATCATTAAGCAGATTTTTTTAGCAATCAGATTTTTATTGTTGTTATGTGCCATCAAGTTGACTATGACACGCAGTGACCCTATGCACAGACCCTAGCTCTGAACCCTGCTCTATCCTGAGCCAGTCTGTCTATGAAACACTTAACCTCATTACTTGAGTTATTGTGTCAAGCCATCTCATTCGGGACCTTCCTCTCCTATGCTATCCCTCAACCATTCCAAGCATGATTTCTCCAAAGACTGGTCCCTCCTGGCCATGTGTCCAAAGTATGTGAGACGAAATCTCAAAATCCTTGCCTCCAAGAAGTAGGTTGGTTTCACCCTCTCTAGGACAAACTTGTTAGTTCTCTTGGCAGTCCATGGTGTATGTTCAATACTCTTCTCCAGCACCACAACCCAAAGGCATCAATTCTTTTGTCATCTTTGGCATTGTCCAGCTCTGATACATAGCAAATACATGCAAAGACTATGGTCTGGATCAGGCGCACCTTACTCTCTCTACGTGACAACTTTGCTCTTCAGCACTCTGGAGAGGTTTCTGACAGCAGGTTTTCCAAATGCAATTTGTCTTTTAGTTTCCTGACTGCTAGTGCCAAAAACTGTCAACTGTGGAAGCAAGCAAGTTGAAACTATTATTAACAATCTCAATCTCTTCTCCACCTGTCATGATACTGACCCAGTGGGACATTAAACTTGTTTCGTGGTAGAAGTTCATTAAATAAATTACATACAATTTTATATACACTTCTGTAACTAATCACAGTTTAAGAACATTTAACATTTGCAATGTGTTTATACACACAAAAAGGAGCCCTGGTAGTAATATGAGTTAAGAGCTGGGCCTGCTAATTGAAAGGTCGAAGGTTCAAACCCACTAGCTACTCCAAAGGAGAAAAAAAGAGGAAATCAGCTACCGACAAGAGCCTCAGAAACCTTTATCGGGCAGTTCTACTTTTTCTACAGGATCACTGTGACTCACAATAGACTCAAAGGCAGTTAATTTAGAAATGTTTGTATCAGAAAACAGAATGAGGAGAGCTCTAGTGCCCTAGTCAGTAGGGTGCTGCACTGGTAATCTAAAGGTAGACCCTCTCTGGAAGTTCAAATCTACCAATGGCTTCTTAGAAGAAAGATGGGCAATCTCATTCCATGTGATTTACAGCCTCTTGAAAACCTGCTCGAGTCAGCTGAGTTGGTTCCTACTCTACAGTCATGCCTTTGACTAAGATCTAAAATGAAATTTAAAGAATTTTAAATACTGTAATTTAAAGAAATTTTGTTATTCCAAATTTACTGAAGGTTATAGAAGCCACAGAACTACCACAAACCAAGCTCATTTCTGGTAAGTTGATTCCAACTCTTAGCAACCCTCTAAGATAGAGTGGAATTTTCCCATAGAGTTTCTGAGGGTTTAATCTTTATAAAAGTCACATCTTTCTCTGGATGTTAGATTCAAACCACTGGCATTAAGTATAAACTTAATACCACTGGAAACACTGGGCAGTTCTACTCTGTCCTACAGGTTCGGTATGAGTCAGAATTATTCAATGACAAAGAATTTGAAAGGAATATACAAATTTGAGGGCACTTCTACTAAGATATGGGACACTCAGATTTTAATGACACTATTAAGTTAATTTTACTTACGAATATGCTCCGTCCAACTGCCAGAATGCTGATACATAGAGTAAAATAATTAAGGAAAACAAAAAAATGTCATAATAGGATATCAATCTTGCGAGTAAATTCAAAGAACCCTTTCTTGGAATTTAAGCAATGATCAATGAGACACTGAAATTGGGCTCAAATTACTGGCTAACATGACAAAGTAGGAATAGCAAGATAAAATAGGTAAATGGAACCTTACAAAAACTCTCAAAACGAAAAAAACTTCATTGGGGAAAAAAAGAAAACACAGCTCATTTTAAGAAAATTTCATCTGATAAGGGTCTTTCTATACATATAGATGTATCTTCTACAAGTTAACAAAAAAGATAAACAATTAAAAAACCCCAGAACCACCGGCAAAGGATTTGAAGAGACACTGAACCAAAGAAGACATTCAAATTGCCAGCAACCACATGAAAAGATTCCCAACATTTTTAAAGCAAATAAATCCATAATTTTCAGCAACTTTATTGTATTGTGTAGAATTGGCCCATAAGGTTTTGAAGGCTGTAAATCATTACAAAGCATACTAATACATCTTTCTCACATGAAATGACTGGTGGATTCAAATTGCTAACCTTTCAATTAGCAGCCAAGCATTTAAACACTGTGCTATCAAACCAAAATCCACTGTCATTGAGCCTATCTCTACTCAGAACCCACCATCAGATTTCTAAGGCTATAAATCTTTACAGCAGGAGGAGATTTATTCTTTTTCCCATGCAGCATCTGCTGGATTTGAACCACTGATGTTTTAGTCAGCAGCCTGACACTGTACCTACCACCAGGGTGTTTCATTGTGCTATCAGGATTCCTTTATCAGCCATTCTGACCCAAACACACTGCCAGGCTCCAACTCTGTGAGTGACTTGATAAGAGTAGAGCTTACACATAGGGTTTCCAAGGCAGGAAATCTTTACAGAAACGGTCTCATCTTTCTCCTATAGAGTGGTTGGGGTTCAAACCAACCATCCTCATTATGCTAACATTCAACAGTCTAAGCCACATGAAAAGGTACCTTATGACCCAGTAATACTGTAAAGCTTAAGAAGGAAAATTATACATGTTTTTCACTATGATTTTTTTAAAAATGTATTATAGGACTTGAGCAGAAACAAGAGTAGTAAAAATAGTCTGGGTAAGAAGTGGTAAGAGTGGGTAAGAGTGGTTGCATAAATCTTTCCAGTATAAATATACTTTATAAGAACTTAAACAAAAGCCTGTACACTCCAGTGTTTCCTGCAGTTAATAGAAAAACAAAGTTCCACTAAGTCAATTGTAACTCATAGTGATTCTCTAGGACAGAGGAGAACTATCCATAATCTTTACAGAAACAGATTGTTTTACATGTCTCCTGTGGAGTGGCTGGTGGGAATGAACTGCTGACTTTTGGGTTAGCAGCCACATTCTTTAACAATCGTGCTACCAGAGTTTAGTAGTTCTTGGACTTCTGGTTTCTAACACAGAGAAGAAACTTCTCCCTCCTCAGCACTTCCATAGTATGTTATCCATATCTATTTAAATCACTCATCACTTTTTTTCAGCATACTACAGAATTATCAGATTGCAACTATTTCTACATGAACCACGAGCTACTGGGCTGAGTGATCAGCAAGCAAGACATGCTGAGGTAGATGTGCTGTGTCTGAAGTCTACTGAGCTATGGACAAGAGAAAGGCAAGATTTAAACTACAGGGAAGCTTTAAAATAGGTTTGGATTTTATTCCAAGTTTTCTTACTAAGACACTGAAGTGGTGAAAGGAAAGCTTAAGAAGGAAAATTATACATGTTTTTTCACTATGATTTTTTTTAATGTATTATAGGACTTGAGCAGAAACAAGAGTAGTAACAACAGTGTGGGTAAGAAGTGGTAAGAGTTTGGAAGAGTGGTTGCATAGGAAATGAAAAAAATAGATTGGCTCAAGATACACTTTTTGTTTTTCAAAACATACTTCAGAATCAGAAAACTGCTGCTTGGAGTGAAAGAAAGAATCAAAGATAGTGATTTGTAAAATCCTTTTCTAAGATGAACAAAGCCAGGAGGAATACATGGATTCTTTCTGAACAGGTACACGTGAAAATGTTCAGCTTCAATTAAGTCCTCTATAAACTTGAGAGGAAGAACCTCGTTCCTTATTCCCTCAAAGACTAATACTGTGCTTGGTAAATGTTATTATTATGTGCTGTCAAGCTGATTCTGACTCCTAACAACCTCATCTGATAAAGCAGAACTGCCCTTGAGGGTTTCCTGCAGTTGAGTACCATGGAGTCAGACCCGACCCATGGCTAACCCTCCAGCAGGTTTTCAAAGGCAGTAAAATCACACATGGAGCTTCTCCTGCGGAGCAGCTAGTGGATTCAAACTGCGTGCCTTCGAGGCTGAGATACCGTTTCTTACCATTCTGCCACCAGAGGAATCTTTAATAATGTATACTGCACTGAAACAGAGGAGGGAGAGAACCGTCTAAAAGAGAGATGTAACTGGGTATTTCTGTCATCACAGGAGACTAGAGCGA